AATATAACATTTTTAAAAGCAAAAAATTCTTAAAGAGGAGATAACTCTTGAATTAAAGATGCAATTTCATAAAAAAATTTCAGCTCTTTTTGACTAATCACAAATAATGTTATATTTGCCATGTTTTAAGCCTATTTGTTGCCAACGCAACCAATATTTTTTCAAAATAGGGAGAACAGATAAGACATGCATAATCTCAAGACTGCCATCTACCCATATGTCAAGTTTCATAAAAATATTTCCAGTACTTTTTGAGTTATCACTGGATTCAGTGTATGTGTAAAATTTGCCATATTTTCAGTCTATGTGTTGCCATAGCAACCAGAATTTTCAACATAGGAAGAAAAGAAAAAGACGTGCATAATCTCCAGACTGCCATCTACCCATATTACAAGTTTCATAAAAATATTTCTATTACTTTTTGCGTTAACACAGGATCCAGTTTATATGTAAAATTTGCCATATTTTCAGTTTATTTGTTGCCATAGCAACCAGAATTTTCAACATAGGAAGAAAAGAAAAAGACGTGCATAATCTCCAGACTGCCATCTACCCATATTTCAAGTTTCATAAAAATATTTCCAGTACTTTTTGCGTTATCACTGGATCCAGTTTACGTGTAAAATTTGCCATATTTTAAGCCTATTTGTTGCCATAGCAACCAGAAAGCAACCAGAATTTCTACATAGGATGAAAAAAAAAGACGTGCATAATCTCCATACTGCCATCTATCCATATATCAAGTTTCATAAAAATATTTTCAGTACTTTTCAAGTTATTGCGGGATCCAGTTTTGTGGACGGACGGACTGACGGACTGACAGACAGACGGACGGACGGACAGACGGACAGACAGACAGACGGACGGAGGGTAAACCTAAAGTCCCCTCCGGTAAACCGGTAGGGGACTAATAAAAAGACTGCTCCACTCAGTGAAAATTACCTTTATTATAAATTACAAAGGATATTTATAGAAATTTTCCTGAGTTTTTTGAGTTGATGATTAGTGTATTAAATTGAAAAGTTTATGATTCATTTCACTCATCAGGGGATAAGCTGCTTTAAAGAGAACAGTTTGAGAATGATCTTGCAAGGTTTATATTTGTCAATTCTTAAAATGCAGAAATTTAAAGTATGAAAACTTTACGACTTTTCATATCATACATGTATATATAACAGAATTTTATGGACCTGGGTGTTTCCACCTTTTTTAAAGGAAATATTTTAGGTCACCATGCAAACATTAAAGATGTCAAGTAAAATATTAAGTTAAATTTGATATGCCTATGTATTTATCAAGGAAATTATATTTAAGGACAGTTAAAAAAATTGGTTTTAAAAAGTCATGTTTGTTTGCGAGTCAGGTAATTATGTGATATACCGTAACTTAATTTTAGTTGGTCAGGCTTTCCTTGATAACTTAGATCAGTAATTTTACCAATTTCTCTGTGAGCGACCAATTATAAACAAGAGGGCCATGATGGCCCTAGATCGCTCACCTGAATTATCAAACTCATCCAAACAATTACCTAGACAAGCATTCTGACCAAGTCTCATGACAGGTGAGTCAAAAATGTGACCACTACAGTGTTAACAAGGATTATCCATATTTGAGCAGTGCGACCTAGTTTTTTACCCAGGTGACACATATTCAAACTTGACCTAGAAATCATCAAAACAAACTTTCAGACCAATTTCCAGGATACTTGGATCAAAATAGTAGCAACTAGAGTGTTAACAAGATTTTTCTATTTTTAGCTCCGGTGACCTAGTTTCACATGCGATTTCGAACTCATCCAAGCAATTACCTAGACAAACATCCTGACCAAGTTTGATGATAATTGAGTCGAAAATGTGACCACTAGAATGTTAACAAGGTTTTTCCATATTTGGGCGGTGTGACCTAGTTTTTCATCCAAGATGACCCATGTTCGATCTTGACTTAGAAATCATCAAAACAAACTTTCAGACCAATTAACAGAATATTTGGATCACAACAGTAGCCACTAGAGTGTTAACAAGATTTTTTCTATTTTTAGCTCCTGTGACCTAGTTTTTCATCCGAAATGTCCCATGTTCGATTTATTCCCAGCAATGACCTAGACAAGTTTCCTGACCAAGTTTGATGACAATTGAGTCAAAATTGTGACCACTAGAGTGTTAACAAGGTTTTTCTATTTTTAGCTCCTGTGACCTAGTTTTTCATCCGAGATGACCCATGTTTCGAACTCATCCGAGCTATCACCTAGACAAGCATCTTGATCAAGTTTGATGATGATTGATGCAAAAATGTGACCGCTAAAGTGTTAACAAGGTTTTTCTATTTTTTAGCTCTGGTGACCTACTTTTTCATCCGAGATGACCCATGTTCGAACTCATCCAAGCTATCAACTAGATAAGCATCCTGACCAAGTTTGATGATGATTGATGCAAAAATGTGACCACTAGAGTGTTCACAAGGTTTTTTCTATTTATAGCTCCGGTGACCTAGTTTTTCATCCGAGATGACCCATATTCGAACTCATCCGAGCTATTATCTAAACAAGCATCCTGACAAAGTTTGATGATGATTGGGTCAAAAATGTGACCACTAGAGTGTTCACAAGGTTTTTCTATTTTTAGCTCCTGTGACCTAGTTTTTCATCAGAGATGACCCATGTTCGAACTCATCCAAGCAATTGACTAGACAAGCATTCTGACCAAGTTTGATGATGATTGGTTCAAAAATGTGACCACTAGAGTGTTCACAAGGTTTTTCTATTTATAGCTCCTGTGACCTACTTTTTCATCCGAGATGACCCATGTTCGAACTCATCCAAGCTATCACCTAGACAAACATCCTGACCAAGTTTGATGATGATTGGGTCAAAAATGTGACCTCTAGAGTGTTCACAAGGTTTTTCTATTTTTAGCTCTTGTGACCTAGTTTTTCATCCGAGATGACCCATGTTCGAACTCATCCGAGCTTTCAACTAGATAAGCATCCTGACCAAGTTTGATGATGATTGAGGCAAAAATGCGACCGCTAGAGTGTTCACAAGTAATTGTGGACGGCCGGACGGACGACGGACGACGGACGACGGACATTCACCGATCCTAAAAGCTCACCCTGAGCAAGCTCAGGTGAGCTAAAAAACAATATGTTAATTTCTATATTTAAGTTTGAAAGATTACAATGTATACCAAAATATAAACAAAGTTACTATGATTTATCATAATTATGTTATTACAGCATTCTTACATATAGTTCCCAAAGCAACTTTCAAATATTATTCTTACAAAGTAGGTTATTAAATGGCATATGTTTGAATGATTTGATACACAATAACTTATAAATTTGAGTTTTTTTTTGTTTGTTTGTTTGTTTGTTTTTTTTTCTTCCAGGATTAATTTTCAAACGTCATTATCAGACCCCTCAGGCAATATGTATATTTAAGTTTTGAAGGGGCCTTATACACATTGCTACATATCTGATCTATTCAGCTACAGGTCTTTTATGTTGGGTGTATATTTCCATTTTTTCTTATTGTATAGATTTGAAGGGAATGCTTCAATTGTTGAAGATATTACTCAAACAAAATGGTACGAGACAGACTGAAAGAGTTACAGGAAAAACATGAACAATTTTGCAAGAATGACAACCACCAGACAGAAGGAGGTAAAATTGTCGCACGTTATTCAAACTCTGAAATACAACTTGACTTATGTCTCCATAAAGTGACACAAATAAGTAAAAAGATAATCGCAATAACAAATGACGTAGAACATTTAGAGCACCTGCAAAAAGACATCATAGCAAATCCATTATTAGATCACAACGAAGTTGTGCGGCTCGAAAGATCGTCTGATGTAATATTCAATACATCGGCTGCGATACAGAAAGAAATAAGTGAATATCGAGCAGAGGTGGTTCAGATGCAGATGCAAAAGTCTCACGAAATTGTGATTAAGAATCATCTAAACAAATTAGAAAGTGATTTAACAAAAGCGAGAAATGATTTCAGAGCGGCACAAGTAGATTATATAGAAAAGACCCAAAAATTACATCAGAGGGAGTACGACATAATGACAGGACATGATGATGATCACCATGACGACCATGACAAAACCCACTCCCCATTACCTGCAGAGTTCCTAGGTGATTATTTTGTCCAGGCCGAGGATGCAAAAGCAGAACTACGTGAAATCAAGGCTAGAGATAAGCAGATAAAGAAAGTTGAAGAAAGCGTGATTCAAGTGAATCAACTATTTAAAGAAGTTAATAGTTTATTAAAAGAGCAAGGGGAAAAAATTGATACCATAGAGAAACATGTGGAGAACAGTGTGGACTATGTGCAGGAAGCAAATGTTGGATTAAAGCAAGCAAAGAAATACCAGAAAATTACGAGGAAACATAAAATATATTGTGTGGGTGTTTTAGTGGCTATATTAGCCGTTACTGTACTTCTTGTTGTCATAGTGATTACTTCTCAAACAGATTAAATTAACCGATAGATAGCAAATATGTGTTTGAACATAAATTATTAAACAAAAAGAAGTGTAAACAAGCAATTATCATAGTATTGCAAGCAATCCATAAGTCCCCTACCGGTTATAACCCCATCAACATTCTGAAGGGCCATTTATTGGAAAAGTTCTTTAAAAGTGATCACAGGAAACAGTTTTTATGAACAGACAGACAGACGGACTGAAGGACACTCTAAGTTAATATTTGAAACATCCCTGTTACCAAAATATAACATTATTAAAAGCAAAATTCTTAAAGAGGAGATAACTCTTGAATTAAAGATGCAATTTCATAAAAAATTTCAGCTCTTTTTGACTTATCACAAATATTGTTATATTTGCCATGATTTAAGCCTATTTGTTGCCAAGGCAACCAATATTTTTTCAATATAGGAAGAACAGATAAGACATGCATAATCTCAAGACTGCCATCTACCCATAAGTCAAGTTTCATAAAAATATTTCCAGTACTTTTTGAGTTATCACTGGATTCAGTTTATGTGTAAAATTTGCCATATTTTCAGTCTATGTGTTGCCATAGCAACCAGAATTTTCAACATAGGAAGAAAAGAAAAAGACGTGCATAATCTCCAGACTGCCATCTACCCATGTAAAAAAGTTTCATAAAAATATTTCTATTACTTTTTGCGTTAACTCTGGATCCAGTTTATGTGTAAAATTTGCCATATTTTCAGTCTATTTGTTGCCATAACAACCAGAATTTTCAACATAGGAAGAAAAGAAAAAGACGTGCATAATCTCCATACTGCCATCTATCTATATATCAAGTTTCATAAAAATATTTTCAGTACTTTTCAAGTTATCGCGGGATCCAGTTTTGTGGACGGACGGACTGACGGACAGACAGACAGACAGACGGACATCCGGCCGAAATGGAATAAGGGGCCATTTCATTTGTTATTTTCTATTGTTTAATAAAGGGCCAATGGCCCCTTACTCTATTGTTAGGGAATGAACTCTATTGTTAGGGAATGAACTCTATTGTTCTCTTTTGTTCTGTTTACAGTTAGATTGCCCCCTTTCCTTATTCGGTAATGCGGACAGACAGACGGACGGAGGGTAAACCTTAAGTCCCCTCCGGTAAACCGGTAGGGGACTAATAAAGTACAAACCAACTTGATTTTGATTTCTTTTTTTAAGGTTAAATCAAGTAATCAATAAATACTATAAATGCAACCTTATAGAAGATATTATTCGCATTTATCATCAGTTTTCAAGAAAAGTCATATGTAACTTATTAAGTTGAGCTGTTTGGAGGAAATCTTCCATTCTTTTATTATTTTTTTTTGAAAAATTCTAAAGATAAAACTGTCAAGTTTTAGCAACTAGTTTTAGTTTTTAGCAAAATACAAAGCCTTTATTTAGCCTCTTTATCATGCAAAACTAAATTAACAAGAGTCATTTATTTCATTTGACTTATCCCATGCATGAATCATGTTGTTTTTGTTTTTTTTAAGTTAAACACAGTTAACAATTAACACCCCTCCAAACAAGGAACATGTGCTTTGAAAATTTAACACTCTTAATAATATATTTGAGCTGCGCCATGACAAAACCAACATAGTGCGTTTGCGCAGCGCAGTCTGATCAGAATCCATGCTGTTTGCAATCAATTTCTCTACTTGTAATAGGGTTTGTAAGCAAACAGCATGGATCCAGCACAGATGCGCAGGGTGGTCTGGATCCATGCTGGTTGAAAACGCAATATGTTGGTTTTGTGATGGCGTGGCTCAATTATGTACTCACTATTTCTAGAGTTTCAACATCCCCTTTTATATCCTCAATAAACTCAGACAGAGTATTGTATATGTCCTCTGCCTGAACCATAGAGCAACTTTCCTGAATCTCACCTCTCTTAATAATATCTTTCACTATAGCTATTGGGTCCTGAAAACATAATAACACATATAATCATGAAGATGAATATAAATAAGCTCATTAAAAAGTCTTTATTATCATATTCTAAAATCATGAAAAGTTTAAATAAATTTTATTCTGTAGTGTTTTTAATCTGCTATAAAAACAAAATATCTATAATGGAATATTTAGCATCAGTCATGTTCTAATTGTAAAACAGTTCAAGACCCTTTAGAATCAAATAAATTTTCTACATATAGGTCTTACAAAAATGTTGTTTTATCACTGAAAACAGTAAAATAATGCAACCTGAAGTGAATGTTTTAACTAATTTTTTGTATACCTCATCTTTATCTTCAACACCTGGTTTCCAGCTTATGTATGGTAAAATGTCCACTGTTTCCTTCTCAATGAGATCAGCTATGGAAGGAATTATGGAAACATCATGTTCATCCTGAAAATAGTAACCAAGACATTTAATTACCAAGCTTAATTTGTACTATTACTCCAGATACATATAGTAGAGTTCTATATGACTAAAAGCCTTAGATAATAACAGTGTTCCCCTTTAAAAGTTCTGTTAAAGGGATTCCACTGAGGGTGTTTTTTTGACGATATTGAAAATCATTTCTCTAGAATCTATTTGATGTAGGTCTATACTAATCAATAGGGATGGCAACGAATACCAAAATCAATACTCGAGTACTCGGTCATTTTTCCGATCGAGTACTCGGTTACTCGGATGATTTCCAATGATCTCACGATATCAACACCGTCTGCATGCTACTTTCGTTTTCTATTTTAATTCATAGAATTCGTAACTATAAATAGGACTGCAAGAAATACATATATAAATATAAACATAAGAAATGTCAATGGCAACATTTATTATATACCTTCAAATTTTCTCCCTAAAATACAGGATGAACTTGAAGCGCAAATACGCTTCAACGGATAGAAAATTCCGTATTATGGTTAGTGACAAATACGGTACGATATATGGAAGTGCCGGACTATTTTTGACGTTGGTTCCGATCTTAGCTGTGTATAAACGTAGCATTTGGAAACGGAAACCAAAATTATAAAAGGCGTGTACGGTTTTGCAAAATTACGTATTCATCCGTTGGTCATAAATTTATTTCTCGACAGCTACATTTCATTTTCTGAAACTTCTTATAGAAGTGAAGTTTAATGAAAATCATTTATAATTCAAACGAAAAGGTATATAACAAGAGCTGTCAGAAGGACAGCGCGCTCGACTTTTTTAGTGCTTGCCTATAAAACAAAACTTTGACAGTTAAGGGCACACAAGACTTTAACTAGGAATTTCTAAGTACAAATCAAGAAACATTTTCACAGAGTTATCTTCTCTTGCTTACAGATAGGTCTCATGATGGCACATAAGAACTCCAACTTCCAAAGTAATATCTCAAATGGTTAAGTCAACAAGTGGACAAGAATGAAAATCTTAACTGAGTTTCTAAGTCAAAAAGGGCCATAATTCAAATAAAATCCTTAACAGAATTACCTTCTCCTGCCCATGTTTTGGGACCATGATGGTAAACAAGTATTCCAACTTTCAAATTAATATCTCAAACAGTTCAGTCAAAAAGTGGACTGGTACTAAAAACTTAACCAAGATTCTAAGTCGATAAAAGGCCTTAATTTTTAAAACAAATCCTTGACAGAGTTACCTTCTCTTGCGTACAGATGGGGGTAATGATGTGAAATAGCATTAAAAGTTTCAAAGCAATATCTCAAAGGGTTAAGGCAATAAGTGGATTTTACCCATATTCAATGTATTTTCTAAGTCAAAAAGGGGCATAATTCTGTCAAAAACCTTGACAGAGTTATGTCCTCTTGTCTGTTGATGAAGGTCGTGATGGTAAACAAGTATGGTCAGTTTCAAAGCAATACCTCCAATGGTTTTGAAATAAAGTGAGGTGGTACAAAAAACTTAACCAAGCTCAATACACTTTCTAAGTCAAAAAAGGGCCATAATTCTGTCAAAAACCTTGACAGAGTTATGTACTCTTGTCTGTAGATGGAGGTTATGATGGTGAACAAGTATGGTAAGTTTCAAAGCCATACTTGTAATACTTCTGAAATAAAGTGGGGTGGTACGAAAAACTTAACCAAGGTGTGACGCCAACGCCGACGCTAACGCCGACGCCGACGCCGGGGCGAGTAGGATAGCTCCCCTTTTCATAGAAAAGTCGAGCTAATAAAAGGACAAATATGTTGTAGCCTATGCATTTTTCTACTCGCAATGTTGGAAAATTGATATTTCGCTCGACCTTCGGTCTCGTAAGATATCAATTTTTCCACCACGTTTATACAATTAACAAGTTTCGGCTACAAACTGTCTAATAGTTAAAGGTGGTTAAATATCATAAGAGGCCGAATGACGTAAACGACACAGGACTGGGTTCAATCCCATACGCGTGTCAAAATGCTGATCGCATCGTTAAACTTACGATATCATATTCACACCTCTGGAAGGATGTTTTGATTGCACTTAACAAGTATTTATACAATAGATACGTGTACATTTCCGAATTTCTGAACTAATCTTTCTAAATGGCAAAAAAAAGTAGAAATTATTAATTTTTTTTTTCGAGTAATCGAATATCAATTTTGTTAACCGATATTCGGACATTCGATCGAGTACTCGGTTAATCGGTTACTCGTTGCCATCCCTACTAATCAAATAATTTCTGTGCAAAATTTCAGATCATTCCCTCACTCAGCTTTCCAGAATATATATTCTATTTGTGAAGATTGACCCAAGTTTGAGAACTGTTTCAATGCTTTTCACTCAATTTTGGCTATGAATAGCACTAAAATATGATTCCTTGTTTATTTCTGAGTATATTTCTTAATTATCTTTTGCATTTAAGTGCCCAAGCTGATCTATGTAAGAAATTCAAACTTTATGTTTTGACATATTTGGGATTCAGTGGAGTTACTTTAAATGTAAAAACGTCAAACAATAATAATCAGAATAATAATCTTAATATTTGACAGAGTTCAAAACACATGGTAGTTTAAAGAAATTGTGTTTTCACACAATATTACCTGATGCCTGTCCTCTATTGCCACAAAGCTGGTGTATGGAGTCACTATACTGTGTTTCTTACTCAAGTCAATGATGTACTGTTTCCTCTCATTTTTGATCACCTAGTAAGTGAAAAGAATGATAGATAAAATCTTATGTCAAATTGTGATGAAATTTTCATCGAAACAAATTACAAATTATAAGATGCTGTATAAATCTAAATGGCCATGATGGACCTATCAATGCTAACCTTTAGAGAAAACTACCTTGCTTATGTTCAATAGAATGTAAACATAATCTGAGCATAAATCAACAAGATACCGTATTTGCATTTAACAACCCCCCCCCCCCCTACTAGCGCCACAAACCACATATTATAGAAGAAAAAGATCTTAAAATCTTACCTTATAGATTTATAAACCATGATGAATGAGCAATTAACAAAAAACAATTAAGGACACTCCATTAATGTTAAATCATTATAAAAGATAATCCTGTATTATATATATAATCATAATATTCAATGATTTTTTTAATTGAATTGTAACTTAAATTAACATATTTTGAAGCATATTTTTATAACCACGACAAAATACGTGCATGACCATGCCATACCATTGTAACTGAGTCGCAAAAGCAGCACAGCAATGTGATATACATGTAAATAGATTTACCTGATGTTTGATCCTGTCATCGTCCAGGGTTCCATTCTCATAGTCTGTAATCACTGCCCTAGCTGTTAACTGATGTAACATCTGTAACATGTTTTATATATTAATATAAAATGAATAGCTTTAAACATTTCAATCAAAAACCACATTCATAAAAAACATAAATGTAGTTTTCTAACAGTGAGTCACCAGATTATTGTAGTTCATACACAGACAATGCATAAAAATATATAAGGATGTAACAGCAGACTTTTATTTTATACACATGCAATGCATAGAATTATCCAAAGATGTAACATAAAAAGGAATATATAATAAAGTTAAGAATAAATTAAATATATTTAAGGTCAATTAGCATGAAGAAAATGCAACAGTCGCTGTGGTGTAGTGGTTAGTATACTGGACCGGCAATCCAGACACCCGTGGTTCAAGTTCCTGCTGTGCCCAGCCAACTTTTCATGTGACTTTTCTGTCTGTGTATATATATATGTGTACAGGCTCCTTACAACAAAATTATACCTTCCTTAAGTGGGCTAGATAGCTTCCTCACATGAAAGAAGTCCATGATGGGATTCCAACCAACAGCTGCGAAAGAACAAATGATTTGAAGGCAACAAACTTAACCGCTCAGCCAAGGAGGTCCTAATGATATTGCTGGTTCTTTATTTGATAAAAAGTTTTATCATATAAGATCATGACAACTTTGTATTACAGCAACATTAAACAGGTGAAATAAAACTTACTGTTCCAGTTGTTATATTGAGATCCACAGTTGACACCATTGTAGATATTTCATTATTACCAACCTTGGCCTTTAGTGTTGCCTGAAAATAACATTAATATTGTGCAATATTGGGCTTTCTTTAATATATCTAATGTGTATTATGAGCTTTCCTATTTGGTAATAAATAAGTTTGTTAAAGGAACACCATTTAGTTTTTTTTTTTTAACATAACATGACTGAATATATTTGGGTATCATTTTATGTAGGTCTGGACCATTAACTTTTAACTGAAATCAATTTTAGTATAGCATAAAATATCAATTTTAGATTTAATTCAGAGTATCTTTCTATTACCAAGGGGCATAACTCTAAACATATAGCTTTCATTATAGTGTCCCTTGTCTAAACAACTGCACCTTGTCATGATAATAAGTATTTCAAGTTTCATGTTGATTACTTTTAAAATGTTTGAATTATGAATTAAATTAAAGTTTTTTGCACAACAACAATGCTGTGATAATAATAGCTTGACTTTTTCTTCAAAACAGACAATCTTAAAATGAAAATGGAACTGTAAGAAATATATAAAGTTCTCACTTGAGTGCAGCTCTCTACAAATCCATACACAACTTGCCGACAACCACTAAATAAACAAGGGATATGAATTGGTGCTTGTGTTGGAGGTGTAGCTTTGTCATTGGTCTGCATCCAATCAACATGCACGTTAGTTAAACTTAGTTGGCATGCCTTTTCAAGCTGTGAGAGTAGTTTCCCTTTCCACTGAGATTTAGTATCAGGATTAAAATGTTGATATGTACCGCCACTTACAGATGAAATACTCCGCAACAAATGATGATTTACTGTCGAGCTAAAAGAACATGAGGCAATAAAAGTCACGTTTAATACTGTTCAAAATTCACATGCAAGTGGCAAATAACTCCATAAATAGAAGCCAAAGAGCAACATGTTGTGTCCAATAGCAATGGTTGGGGGAGGGGGGGGGGGGGGTGTTAACAACTGTGGCTATATGAAAACAGTGGCTATATGAAAACAGAGGTTTATGCAATATCTATTTCTTAAAAATTTACTTCTGAATTGTTGAGAAATTCAATATCCACTTACACACACAATGGTTGTAATTATTTCCATGCACATATCTGCCATTCAGATAACTAAGTTTTCAATACCCATAAGGGTTCTTACACTGAAATCATTATTGCAGTGTTAATATCAGGGATGGTATTACAAGTACAGATCTTGAAACAGTAAAATTAAAGAGAAACACAAAAATACCTGACTCCAAGTGAAAAAATTCTGATTTGCTGAGAAGTTTTCTGAGCAGCCAATAGAATTGAAGATTCCTGAGTCACATGACCATCAGAGATGAGAAAGAGATTCAGGCAGCTTTGATCAGCAGACGACACTGTAGCAGACGACAATATCTGTGTAGCATGAAGAGGCTCTAACAATTCTGTGGAACCTAAATTTGCAGACGCTACCTGTAAATGAGATACAGTAATCAGTGTTACCTTTACATTGCATACATTTTTTAGCAAAGAAGTAATTGACAAAAATTTACCAAATATTTAAAAACTATATGACATATTATATGCCCGACATTTTTCTATTTTTTAAGTTCTATTTAATAGTAAAAGAAAATTATTTGCTTCAATTTTAGTGTAAATATAAGAGTAAGCACTGTATTGATCGAATTGTGTCAAATGTCTTTAGAACAACCTTCCAGAAATCATGACTACAGTGCAATTACAAATATAAAACACTGCCATCTTGCCAAAAATATTACCTGGATGAACTGTTTCGCCAACTGAGAGGAGAAGTTGTTACATGATTGAGGAGATGGAAACAATTCTTTATATGTACTACCAAACACAACCAAGTTGAATTTGCACTGCAGCGGTAAATTGTCTATAGCTAACAGGGCCACCTGAAATAGATCAACATTCATTGCTTTATAGTTTTAGTTCATGATAAACACATATACAATGTATATTAGAAAAGACAATTATCTCAGTATGTCTGAAAATTAAAACTGGTTGGACAGTTATTTATCATGAAATCATACTGAAAACAAAATCATAAATTTTACATTAAGAACTCTTGTATATCCTACCAGTTAACACTTAACCTGCTCAATTTGTGTAACTGATTTGCCCAGCTTTAAATTTGAAACAGTCCATTCTAAGTTAAAGGGATTAACATATCAAAAAGACAAAATACAAAGAATTGAGCTACTGAATATACAGATCCTGGTCAGACTACAAGGATGTGCCAGGCTTGCCTGGTTCTATACCGGTGACATCGGCTAGTCAGTTTTAGTTCAAGCAGGTTAAGAGTCTTAAAAATATACCATAGGAGAAACATATATATTTTTAGTAGGTAAAAAGTAGAATTTACAATATTTTCCACCATAATTATTCATAAAAACAAATAAAGACATAAAAGATTCAATCATGTATTTACCTTCTTGGCCTGTTCCTCAGGTTGGCCTTTCATTGAATTAGACATGTCTAACAGAATAATAATGTTAGCCTCAGTCACAGACTGTGTCTCAAATTCAGGGTAGAATGTCAGCATACATGCCTGTAATACAAACATGATATACTCAATTCATAAATTAATGTAATACTATACTGTGGTATATTTTCCTATAGGTAGTGTAGACCAAGAGCTAAACCTTTTAAGAAAATAATCCCCTGAACATATTTATTGATCTAAATATCCATCAAAATGCACCTCTGACAATCCAGAGCCAAAAATTAGCATCTTGGGGTGCATGCCCCAGACCTCTACCCCATATAATTCAACATTCCTGTAAATTTAAAATAAGCTATGCCCCTCCTGTAATTTTGTTTAAATGTAACAGTAAAGTTTTGCTATATTGGTATAGTCCTAAAAGATAACAACCTTTAGTGTTGAAGATACAGCTCAAATCACTACATATGCGTGCATAATCTAAACCAAAAGATGAACAACATGCAATTTGAAGCCAAAAATTTTAACTTGTCTGCCAATAATTCATTTTCAAACATTTCTTATCTTTTGAAAATGACAAAGTTTGTTCTATCTTAAGGTAATTTTCTTGTCTACAAAGTTAAAATGGAAATAACACTAGACTAAAATGTCTTACCTGAGTATTTTCTGTAGGATGTTTCTCCACCCACATTCTAGGAACATGGATTTCAGCCAGGTATATATACAGCTGGAAACCTTCATCAAATCTGCTCCTTCTGGGAAGGGAGACAACTGCTTTTGTTGCTGTTTTCTGGAATTATAAAGTGAGGAATCAGTAAGTTATATCCATTTCCCTGCTTCCATAACCTTTACCCTGCCAAATTTCTTAAATGGATTTGTCCAACTTTGATTTCTAGAACTGTCCATCACCAATTTAAAGAATATTAAGATGTAGATTGAAGTTAGTCAGCCAACCTTTAAATGCCTCGTTCCGGCAGATTATGGGTTAAACCATTAATCGGTTAAACCATTATTATATTTTACAATATTTGGTGACTATTCAAGGACCAACTTTAATTGCAATTAATATATTCAAAATTTAAAAAGAAGCTATCATAATTACCTTCCACTTGACCCTGTGGGATGGTGAAAATATTCTCCTAATGTCAAATGGCATCTCTATGGCAACCATTAGAGAAATGTCACATCTCTTGTTGTCAGACACTTTAACAGATTCAGTTGTTGCCTGTGAACATAGAAAATATATAATTTCTATACCAATCAATGTTGATGAAAATAAAGAATGCCATTCTTAGCTTTATTAATGAAAAATGGAAATCAGAATAAACATCAAATAATATCAAAACACGAAACCGTACCAATCTGGACAAAATCATTAGTCATAATTATGGGAAAATTTCGAAGTATTTACTGACTGAAAAGAGAACCAGCAGACCATGATCAGACAGCATGGCTGGGCAGGCTAACCTTGGTCAGCACTGGTTGCACAGGTAGAATATGTTGCCACCAGCAGGGTAAGTTATTTTTACTTATTCAATAAATGAAGGTAAATATCAATAATATTGATGCTATTTGTTACACTAAGATAATAATTGCTACGTAATTTCTGCTTTATATGAAATTGACTACTACCCTCATGATGAATATATTTGGATGTTTGTTTTTTCTGGTTTTTACTACGATTTTAACACATATTTTGGTCATCACTTCTTTGTGGTCAGACTGTTCAACAGGCTTTTCTGGAAAAATTCCCAGTAATTACCAATTTTTTCACAACTTACTGACTACTAATCCTGAATGATAATGCTTTCCAAATGATTATTAGACTCAATGTCTGGGTTCAATTGTCACGGACAAATTACGCCTTGACCAAGGATCAAACTAGCCACCCCTAGATTTTTAATTTAATGCTTTCTCTACAGTGGGACAGACTGGTCCTCAAATATTGATTTATTTCTATAGAAAAAAAATGATTTAATCACCTGTGTCTTCTGTGACAGAGCTCCATCTCGTAACCATGGAGCTACTGAAGCTGGAATAGTGAATGCAATTGCCTCCCCTTGGACCTGCAGCTCTGAGATGTATGTGATCTTGATGAGGACGTCACATTTAGGAGGTAAATTACCAACACTGACTGAGAATACATCCTGAAAAAGAAAATGTTTCAATTATGAATTGATAATTCCCCTCTGAAAGAAATTAAAAGGGTGGCATGGCTGAGTAGTAAACACTCCAGACTAGTAATATAATGATTGTCAGCTGTGTGGGTTCAAACTCCATCAGGGGCAAGCCATCGTTTCCAATTAAACTAAAACAAATTTTGTATTATTTTGCATAATCATCTGTGAAAGCAAATTCTTTTTACTTTGTTTTTTTTCTGCTTTTTAACCCAATTTTGGTAATATTTTGGTGGAAAATCCATTTTCTGAATTTCCTGGATTTCTAAAGAGTAACTACCAATTTTTCTGCAAGTGACCGACCACTAATTACACATGATTTCTGAATCAGATGTGAGGGATAAATGATGATGAGACTTTATGTCTGAGATCAATTGTAATGGAAAAATTTCACCTAGCCCTAGGATTGAATCAGTAACCCTTGGATTACTTTTATCCGTCACATGGTTAGCAGCAAAACAAAACTACATAAAAACGCTGTTTAATCGGGGAAAAGTAAGAATTAAACCATTTAAATAATCTAAAAACATGATCAAAGCAGGATAAATCAAATACGTAGTTGATGTCTGGATAGGAGAAGGTTTATCCGGTTTGCTGTGAAAGTGAATCTTGGCTCGCTAAAGCTCGCCAAGATACACTTTCTCGCTCACCGGATAAACCTTCTCCATCCCAACATCAACCATGTATTCTCTATATCCAACACTCTCCTCCTTGAGTTAAGATGGCAGATTTCTATATTTAGAATGTGATATAAAACACAGATAATTCTTACAGGTGTCTCTTCTTCCATTAGGTATGCCCCATCACCCCTGGCAACAGCTTCTTTATATTCCTTCCTAGCTTTACTCTTCTCTTTAACTTCACCTACAAAATGTTAAATGGAAAAATCAATCAGTAAATCATTTTTACCATTTCAATTTTTGGAATTCTATCATAGCAACTTAAGGTCTTGTCAGTTGAAAATACATATTTTAAAACCTAGAATTACGATATGAGCTGCCTGAAAGTGTTGATATAAAAGTTGATTACTTCAAATAACTTAACACATTATCAACAAAACAATTATCATGTTATCATTATCATGTTTTCCTAGGTAAAGCTATCCTTAAATGATTCTTAACCATCAAGTAAATTTACTTTCAGCAATTAATGGGGCCAATCCATCATGGAAACTGCTTGAGTTGGTTGAATTTTTAGGATTTTATTTCTGAATTATTGTAACTCTTATCAACAATTTTTTAATGTATACCTATCACATGTTTTCCGTTAATGAAAGCCTCAAATCCACATACTGCTGCTGTATCATCCAATGGGAACACATACTTGGCCTCTATAGCAGTTGTACTGTCATTTCTGTATGCTTGTAGAACCACAACCTATCAATATATAAAAGATATAGAGAATAATAGGTTGGTGCCATGGATTGAGAAAGTTTATCTGGCGAGGCGGAGGAATTTATTGGGGTCGCCTTCGGCTCACCCAATAAATTCCGGAGCAGAGCCAGATAAACTTTCTCCATCCACGACACCAATCTATTATTCTACTTATCCTGTCACCGTTTTTTTTAAAGAATTTTATTAGGCAAACTACCTTTAATCACACTATCGGAAAATGTTTCTATATAAACAAAGAAGGCCCGAAGCGTGCATTATTCTACAACAATGCACTCGCCGTTCTTATTATCTCCCTGTGTATTTTTACATCGAGGGCGCCATTTTGTTTGAAAAATGTGATAAATAAAAACATTTTTTTGTTGAATTTTGTTGTGAAAACTATCTAGAATGAAAGAAAATGGTCTAACTAAGAAAATGAATTCGAACAACAATATCTTTTATTGAGTCGTTAACGCTGTACAGACGTTTAAAGTATTGTTTACGTGACGTCATAATGTAGCGCAAAACAGCACGTGTCAAACAATCTAATCAACTATTTATATGCTGCAAACGAGTAAGTTTTACAATTATTTCACTTTTAATAATTTGTATTTCGCTTGAAAAATTATAGAGTGAAATAAAATAAACAAAGTTTTATCAACATTTCCAAAATTCGTTATTCTACACACAGAAGATTTAACGACAGTTTTTATATTTTTTTCTTGAAAAGTAGTCCGGCAAACATGCATACCACATTATCAAGTGCCGTAGATCAGTAAAAATATACGGCACCTTGTTATCGGGCCGAAATTGATACAAGTGACAGGATAAAAACTATTATATAACAGATAAACCTAAAATGACTGGATGGGAACCCCAGGACTTCAGAACATGATGTTGACTGGGCAGCTGATAAACAAACACATGATAATGCTGTCTCAATTTAAACATTATTCATTTTAATTTGTCAGTTTGTTTCTAGGAACTAACAAGTACTGTTGACATAAGAAGAAACATGGTTGTGGCCCCTGTATGGGCTCAAACCTCATTTACACCATGCCATATAGCTTTACCCCATGCCAAAAAGCTTTATATCATACCATATTTCCCTACACCATTCCATATAGCTTTACATTATGCCATACAGCTTTACACTATACCATATTGCTTTACACTATGCCATATAGCTTTACACTATGCCATACAGCTTTACACCATGCCATATAGCTTTACACTATGCCATATAGCTTTACCCATACCATGTAGCTTTACACCACGCCATATAGCTTAACACCATGTCATATAGCTTTACTCCATGCCATATAGTTTTACTCCATGCCATATAGCTTTACACCATATAGCTTTACTCCATGCCATATAGCTTTACACTATGCCATATAGCTTTACTCCATACCATGTAGCTTTACACCATGCCATATAGCTTAACACTATGTCATATAGCTTTACTCCATGCCATATAGTTTTACTCCATGCCATATAGCTTCACACAATATAGCTTTACTCCATGCCATTGCCATTTAGCTTTATCCCATGCCATACAGTCCATGTCATATTTCTTCATATCATGCCATATTTCTTTATCCCTTGCCATATAACTGTACACCATGCCATATAGCTTAATCCCATGCCATATTGCTTTATCCCATGTCATATAGCCCATGCCATATTTCTTAATATCATGCCATATTTCTTTTAACCATGCCATGTAACCTTACATGAGTTAAGAGGGTTTGCACACATCACATTATTTCTTAATAATTAATTATGACCAAAACTTTATACTTTTGCATACTGAAAGACAAGAATGTATCCTGCATAAAAATAATTCAGATAATGATTTTTATGGTAATATAATAATATACAAACCTTGGCCACCATGTCCATCATTTTTCCTCTGATATGTACACTTTTAAGAGGGATATGTTCCTTCTTGTTACCTTGTAATCCTGCTTTAACCTTGGCAAGAGGATCTTGAACATCTTTAATATCTGAGATATCTAAAAGGGAAATAACCTATGTGTTTCTTCTAAAATTATGCAATACAAATACATCTTAATGTGAAATCTTCTGAAATGTATGGGTAACAATCTCGTTTTACTTAAAATTTAGATAATCTTACTTTTGTATCACCGAAACAATCTGAGATTATGTAAAAATGAAACAATCTACATAAACTGAATAATCTGAAATTATCTAAAATGAAGTTTGATTCTTTGTGTGAATCTAATATATGCAAATTAGGTTTCTACTGTATTTCCCGCCATTTACAAGTGAAATTTACAACAAAAGAAGTTTGATATATATATTTATATGAATGTTGTAAAGTCTACTATATGAATGTTGATAAGTCTACTTAGTTACTAGACAATGGAAACGTTCATTCTCCAACTAATGTTAACTGGATATTTTGTGCTTAAAACTTTTGTTCATGTACCATGATATTGTATATTCAATATGCTATACAAATATATGTTGTAAAGACTATGTACTAAACGTCAATAAATCATTTATCTATCTATAATAATGAATTCACTTACCAATATCAGTATTTGAAGAAGTCTGAGGTTGAGTGTCCTGATTTGTGACCTCTAAACCTTTCAGTACCTGTAGATCTCCATCTCTTATAGTTGGGTGTTCTGTAATATTGTCTCCCGGTAGAGAAAACTCAACCAGGTATTTCACACACTGTTGACTTGGGTTGTATATAACAAATTCATTATCCTAAAACAAACAATTTTAAGGTTTAAATGGGTATGCTTCCATAAACATGTTGCATAAAATATATCTTCAAGAATCAAACTTAAGAAAAATATAATTCTAACTTAAACAAGAGTGTTAATGCAGTGCTAATGCTCTAGTGTAAAAAATCTCAAGTTAAAAAAAATAACTCCAAAAATATTTTTTCAGAATTATGCGCCTTGTCTTACCACTGCACATTGTCATAATTGTCCTAATAAGAAAATATTCTAAGTTTTATGTAAATAATTTGAAAATTGATATAATGGGCTAAATTTATGTTTTTGCAACAAAGACAACAACACCACAGTAATCAAAAGCTCAACATTTCTTTGAAACAGACAAGCTTAAAATGTATAAATATTCATATCCCAAGTGAAACTTTGAACCTATGATGAAAAATTACTTATATGGTTTCTATATCACATTATATCCTATACAGTTCTAAAAAGCACTGATCTGATTGGCTGATAAGCATTGATGTCACAAGTTTGCAAGACTACTTGTAGACCCCTAAGATATGTAGACTTGATGGTCATTTCCACATATAACTGCAAGCAAGTCAAAATATCCTGAAATATCCTGAAGTCAAAACTTCCTTGAGTCAAAACATCCCAAAAACACAATGTTTTGACAATATATCATATAAAATAACAGCCAAAAACTTATCCTTAATATTACCTCAAATGAGCTCTGGTTGTCATTTGATGATTTCACACCTTGTACACAGTCAAAACCTTCAGGGGCTGATGTAATAGTGAAGTCAGTCTGGTACATTTTACAACAGTGTCCTAGAGATACGTTACACAGCAACATAAACCTAGTACCAGTCTGGGAATTTGCTGTAGAGTACTGGGAGCTTTTTCTGAAATAATTTTGAAATACACATGTATATTATTTGATTTTTGATGGGTTATATGGCCATAAACAAAAGCTGCCATTAAGACAGCATACTTGACTATTCTCAGCGCTTGATAGTAAAACAAGACCTAAAAAAGAGTCAAAATTTTAACAAAATCCATGTTAAGAGTTATTGGCCTTAATCAGTGGCCTTCTATAATGCTCTAAAATAAGCGTGCAAGTTTTTAACCCATCTCTTATAGTAGTTTTGGAGATACAAACTTCACCAAAGATGACGCTGCCACTGACCCTGGGATGAATTCAATAGCTCTCCCTATTCTCTGAATAATTGAGCTAAAGCATCTAAAGCATCTATTTCTCTATGGCAACTTCTGCAACAAGTGCTTGAGTAAGACAGTGTGCCAAGTTAAGAGTATGGACCTTGGTCAGTGACCTCCTATTATACTCTCAAATAAGTGAGTGAAGTTTCAACTCATTCCCTTCAATAGTTAAGGAGATACTAAATTGCACACAAAAATTAACAAGAGTGTGATGCAGACAACAAGGCCTTGGTGAGTACAATAGCTCTCCCTATTTTTTAAATTTTATCGAGTTAAAAAGAGATATGACTGTAAACTTACCCAGGATTATCTGAGAAGTATATCCCAGCACCAAGGTTTCCAACATCTGTTCTTGCAACACCCATTTTGTCTGCTACCATATTGGGCATTAATAAACCCCTGTAAACAAACAATGATTTACTGAAAAAACATATTTCACTACTCTTTATGTACAGGTCAATTATACTACATGTATAACAAAGAGCCACAAATATCTTCTTTTATGATCCTGCACAAACAGTTTATTATTGGTATTTTTGTTTGTTTTTCTGTTCATAAGGCCAATTTTACATATGTGTGGTCATTTTTCAACAAACACCCACCGAACAGGACTTTTCTGGATAACTAACAAGTAGTCAAAAATTTCTCTGCAAGTGACTGACCAATAATCATCCATGATTTCTGAATCAGCTGTGAGAGACAAATGACTGTTAGACTCAATTGTCACATTGACTTAGGATCCAACAAGCATCCCCATGAATACTAATCAGATGCTCTCCCTATTGAGCTTTTTGATAATAGGTAAAAGCATGAACAATCAAATCGATATTGCTATTCAATCTCCCTCCCTTCGTCTACATTCTAGAATTTTTATATTCAACAAAGCAGGTGATGCCCCATACTTCACCAGATTTGTGAAATTGTTTTCTCTGGTTTTCTGGATCATTGGTTCCAAATACTTACAGTGTTGACGGGGTGTGAGTGATTTGCACACTTGCCCCAAAGTTTGGAAATTTGCTAAATGTATTTCAAATGCAGTCTAAAGCTTGTTTCAATAAAAACTGCAACAATAAAGACATTATTATTGAATTAATGCATTATAATTAAACATATTACAGCTTAAAGTACATTTAATATACATTTAGCAAATGATTAAACTGAGAGGGAAATGTCGACTTTACATTTCCATGGGGGGAGGGCAAAATTTTAATTGATGCATTTTTTTACTGCAGGGAGTGGGTGGGTATCAAGTGTCCTGGAGGGCAAATGTCCCGTATATCTGACAATAACTGAATCTTGTAATGAAGAGTTTATAATATCAGAAAACTGATTATTACACTGTCCCCTAACTTGAGCATTATAATGGGTATGCTAGTGGAAAATAAAAATTTAGCTTCTATAATTAAAAAAAATTCCTACTGTTTTCTTTCTTAATGGACATCGCACAAGACATAAATTAAAATGGTACTGAATCTAAAACACAAAATGATAAAATAAAACTGTCTCAAATATTCAGCAAACCTTGACAAAATTCCAAGCATGTTGTGACAGGGTGAAGCATGACTCAGCAGATTTATATTTCCCACATCCGACATAAAGTTCACCTCTTCCACAGTCCGCCTGACTCTGTATAAACCATGTATCTTTCCTCTATCTTTAGCTAGCTTCTCTTCCAAGATCTTGTAAATTTCTGCTGAGTCAGCATCAGACTGGTTTACATATTTTATATGACATCCCATGGCTCTGTATTTAGCAATAACTGTAGTATCAGGGGACCAGTCTGTGGCTTTACTTACAGCAACAATATCTGATAAAAGCTGTCCAAAATAAAAACCCAAATTATGTCCAGACAGGTCTTGACTGTAAATGATTTTCAATTAACTGAATTATTTATAACCTAACTTACATGAATAAACTTTAAAGTCACTTCAAAAACATTAAGCTGGAAGAAAAAGTCATCAATTTTGTCCCAAAATGATAAAAAAAATTTGCATCATAAGTTGCGTTATTGAGTGTTCTAACATTTTTGCATGCACAAAGCGTTTTACACACTATAGCCATAACTGTTTGAGAAAGACTCCAGGTGTATTTCTACAATTCCACAATATATGTGTAAGGCAATGCCACTCCCAGTTTGTGAGTTTAACAACCACATTATTATAGACAACTTCTTTATTCAACTTATCACAAGTTTAAAATGTTAACCTTTTATAAGGGAGGGCCCACACTAATGCTAATATAACTTTCAGCTCAACCCTTTTTTGTATATTGCATAAAAGTACACACGGTTAGATAACAAATAAAATATTTTTTTAACTTTCTTGAGACATATGTACATATATTGCATAACAAGACTTAGCTTTTACCTGACAAAGGTCCTGTTTACCAATGACTTCTCTTAAAGTCCAATCACTTGACTTCTTAAATTGTTCTTTATGAGGCAAAACCTCATAAAATTCTTCTATAAGCTTGTCCATATCATCATCATAGTTGCCTAGTAACTTATCCGTTAATTGAGACAGTATCACTTTCGCTTCAATTATCTACAAGAGATAAATAACATTTAGAGTTAAAGTGACATTATGCCCATCAAAGTGTAAATGAACAGGTAAAATCAAAGTTACTTGACATTTTGCCATAATCGTGTTCAACCTTTTACTTGTCTATAAAAAACGAATTAATAATTCAGGTGACCAACTGAAATTACTGTAAATATAGTTCAGAATATATCAGTAATTTTCAATTCTTAAGAGGAGTGCGGCAGTCTTTTTATAAATAAGGTCATTTTTATATTTGCATCATAAACATTTTTCATTATCCATCATTGGTCAATCAACATTATAATAGTCATTCTTTTGAAATATATAACTTATATGAATTAATAAAACTTATACTTAATTAACTGAAAAACCAGAAAAAAAGCAAAGATTCATACGGAACTCTTAAAATGGCATCATGTTATAAATTTTTCATACGGCAATATACTGACCCCTTAATTTGAATAGTTATGTCCCAAATATAAAAAAAACCCCAGAAATTCATGTCAGGAAAAAGCGTTATCCTAAAGTTGAAATCCCAATTTATATTTTCACATTCCAAACCTGTTTCTTAATAATGCAATATATGGTCCCCACAAAAATTTAGGTTTCACCCATATTAAGTTACCCACCCCCCCCACTCCTGTTTTTTTTGGAACAGGGACCCTGAAAAATATTATCTAGATAAAATCAACCCCTCTATGTATGTAAACCAAAATCTAATCCCACATACTGAACACCCCAGATCTTAAAACTCACTCTGCTTATTTATGTAAACCTTTAAAAACTATGAGACCTTTTTGTCTTAAACAAAACCACTTGCAATTCTTTCTCTTTTGGTTCCTTAAGACTTTGACTGGATCTTAACCAAAAATTTTTCTCTGTAAAAATACTTCTTTAGAGTTTCCAAGATGGATCAACCTCTGTCAGGGCCTCATTCCAGACTATTGAAGTGAGTGCTGCCACCTGGGGGGAAATTTCTTCATTCAAGAGAGATAACTTTCCTATTTTCTATAAAGAACAATGAAAACAAACAACAATTAATCTTTTAAGAAATCTCTTTTTACAAAAGGCTTACTTCTTATTCAATTTTATGGATAGAAAAGTAAGTTATTATTTTTTGTCAAAAATCTGTAGAGAACAATATCTCAGAAAAAAACAAAACTTTTAAGAGTTTTTCTTATAGCTTGAATGAGTTTAACAATCAAAGTAGGACAAAGTGAAAAATTACTAACAGCACAAGAAAGCATTTACTTACTGAAATTGACATTAATTATACAATGTTCGAAAATTGAAATAAAAATTGTACCATTCTTAAAGTAGCAGATCCAAAGTCTTGCACATCTACTGATCCTGGTTTACAAGGAACCATACACACAGGTTTGTTGGCATATTGTCTATACAACTGCTCATAACCACTCAGTACCTCCGACACCGTCTGAAAGTACCAGACTATTGCCTCGTCTATTTTCACCACCTGACAATACATGTACATTGTATCAGTACAATAAATACAGGATATGGAATGAGTGTAGGTTTAATACTTAATTTATTGAACAAGTTGAATAAAATCATATTAAGCGAGCCTCAATAAATTTAGTATTGAATCTACACAAATATAATATTCTGTTTATCACATACATAAAATAAGAACGGGAAACTGTTAAAAAGAGCCATATTTCATTAAAGGCCAATGGTGTAGCACTAAAATTAGCGCACTTAAATGCTATGTTTATATATAGCGCAAATGACGTCACGCCAAAGTGTTATTACAATAGTGTAATATCATTTTTATCAAATAACTTTATTACACTCATGTGCTGCGCTTTATGTGATAAAAGGTATTTTGAAATAAATCTCTTAACACCAATGAAAACATAAGACATGGAAACAATTTTTTTATTATATACAATTTTGGCCAAAATTTTAAGTTAAAAAGGTCAATAACTCCAAAAATATTGCTTTTAGAATTATGCCCCTTGTGTTATAACTGAACATTGTCATGTTAAGATAGTATTCCTATTTACGTGTAAATATACTCCCAAAATAGAACAATAAAACAAAAGAAAATGGGTTGGGCAACAAGTTCTAACAACTTTTCATTAATCCCTTCCCAGAAATCTTTGTCTTATAAAGGGTGTTGCTATACAGAGGCTGTACTTTAGTATCTAATGCAAAAACAACAAATATTTCAAACTAAATAGACTGGTACCTTATTATTGTCAACTTGAGCATTCTGTGCATATAACCTGTACCTGAACTGGCAGTCCAGTCTGGTGGCAACATGTACCTCCAATGCTTCCATTTTCTTTGTCTCCTGTGAATACAACATAAGGTAAATGACAGTCAAAAACAAAATTCATTTTCAGTTGAATACTTTTTTATAGGAATTGATTTTTTTTTAACTTTTAAATACATCAGTAAAAAAAGAAATGTCCATGGACAGTGCTCTACTTTACTGAGTGCTGGAAAGTTAAATACATTTGTAAAGGCAACATAGAAAAAAGGGTATAACATTGCAACAAGATAATTTTAGGATTATCTGCCCTTTTGAAACAGTGCCTTTTTATGGCAATAAACATGTACAATGTATACCAAGTTTAAAGTGAATAGCTTTTATAGTTTCTGAGAAAATAGACCTTAATAAAACAGTCAGACAATGCTGACGCCAATGCCAAAGAGAGGGTTATGACAAATAGCTTCACATTTTTCCCCCGGAAAAGTGGAAATGACAACAGATACCAGAGTCTTATAAAACCATCTTTGAAATATTCTAAAATAAGTCTATGCAGTAGGACTAACAAAACAAGAGGGCCATGATGGCCCTGAGGTCGCTCACCTGTATATAGGCCCCCCGGAGCCGGGCCAGTTTAAATCCAAGGCTTTTATTTGAACAAACTTGGAAGACACCCATTAGAAGATGTTTCATGATGTTAAGTTTTTACTACACACATAAAATGAAAAACATTGCCCCCCCCCTCCCCCCCGTTTAAACCCCAGGGCTTTTATTTGAACAAACTTGGTAGACACCCATAAGAAGATGTTTCATGCTAAACATCTAAGCTCTAGCTCATTGGGTTTTTCAAAAGAAGATTTTTTAAGTTTTTACTATACACATATAGCAAAAAACAATGACACCCCTGGGGCGGGGCCAGTTTGCACCCCAGGGCTTTTATTTGAACAAACTTTGTACACACTTACTAGAAGATGTTTCATGCTTAATATCTAAACTCTAGCTCTTTGGGTTCTTTAAAAGAAGATTTTAAGTTTTTGCTACATTGTATACACAAATAAGGAAAATCAATGACCCCCAGGGGCGGGGCCAATTTTGACCCCAGGGCTTTTATTTGAACAAACTTTGTAGACACTCACTAGAAGATGTTTCATGCTTAATATCTAAACTCTAGCTATTTTGGTTTTTTAAAAGAAGATTTTTTTAAGTTTTTGCTATACACATATAAGGAAATCAATCACCCCCGGGGGAGGGCCAATTTTGACACCAGGGCTTTTATTTGAACAAACTTGGTAGACACCCATTAGAACATGTTTCATGCTAAATATCTTAGCTCTAGCTCTTTGAGTTCTTTAAAAGAAGATTTTTTAAGTTTTTACTATATGCATATAGGGAAAATCATTACCCCCTAGGGCGGGGCCAATTTTGACCCAAGGGCTTTTATTTGAACAAACCTGGTAGACACTCATTAGAAGATGTTTCATGCTAAATATCTTAGCTCTAGCTCTTTGGGTTCTTTAAAAGAAAATTTTTTAAGATTTTGACCCCAGGGCTTTAATTTGAACAAACTTTGTACACACTTACTAGAAGATGTTTCATGCCAAGCTCTTTGAGTTTTTTAAAAGAAGATATTTAAAGTTTTTTTCTTTTGGTTGCCATGGCAACCAGAGTTCTGCATGGAATTAAATTCTTTGAACAATTTTTAAAGGTGACCACCAAAGGAACATTCCTGTGAAGTTTGGATGAAACTGGCTAAGTGGTTTATAAGGAGATGTCATTTAAAGTAAAAGTTTACGGACGGACGACGGACGAAAAGCGATCACAAAAGCTTTGTGACAGGTGAGCTAAAAATTTGCTGTTACAGAAACATAAGGCTTTTTAAAATTTTCAACTTATCTCAAGATTATGGAGACAGTATTTGTTTGTTAATATCTAATTCATTTTCTAAATCTTTAACAATAACTTTGAGTTTATGTAAGATAAAACATATACCTTATTTATTAGAAGCGCCCATTTTGGTAACTGGAAAGTGTCCTCATCAAACTCGGGAGCATTTACATCACCGTATAAGAAGCTAGGATAACTGGACAAGTTTACTGTGACAACCTTCTTCTTAACAAGCCTTGTACCTCTACCTACTTCATTATGTGTTGCTATGTAAAACAAAAAACAAAAATTTTCAATGCCAGCTCATACAATATGTTTTCGCAACAGTTTAATGTTAATGGCACATTGTGCCTCAGAAATGGATCATTCACTGCAAAAATGAGTTTTATAATGTTCAAATAACTTGGGGCATGGGAGCATGGGGGATGAATAATTAAAATGTATGCTTACTTGTTCATTTTGTATTTGAATCCTTACTTTTAGTTACTGTTTATTTGTTATACACAGACTCATTTGACAAAATCTAGTAACTCTATGTCTGCTTTTACGGAGTAAAATTTTGTACACAAATGACAAATTATTGAAATTTTTTGCCTGGTATCCGGAATATCTATTTTCTGGTTTTATAAAGATTTTCATACTATGTAAAAAGAAGGACAAACCAGTAAAGCTTGAAGTCGCCGTATGACTTTTACATTGTTGGTGTGACTTAAAATTTTACTTAGGTCACAATTATGTTTCATTTAAACTCAAATAATAAAATAAAATAAAATCTTCAGCTTTCTCAAAACTCAATCTTAAATAGATATGTCTAAACAAAAAATAATAAAAGAGTTGTCTTCATTCCTTAATTGATGTATCGTAAATAATTCTTACTCTGAATTTTTCCTTTCCCAAACTCCTGATTATTGTTGATGTCCGCTAACCTGTATTTGCCAGTATCAAGGAGTCTATTTTTAGTAACACATTGTTGTACATATTTTGGGCTCACCACAGGAATATTATGCCTGTTACACTGCCGTAACTTGTATGAAATACTTGTGCCTTTCTTGTTGAAAACAACAAAAAATGAAGCCTGAAAAATATAGCAAAAATGAATTGATATTATACATGCAAACATAACTAATATTCTGAAATCTTGTAAATTGTTTAAAACCACTGATAGATCATACTCTAACCTTTTATTTGAATAACAATTGATTTAACCACAAACATACTGACATGTGCTTTTTTGTTAACAAAATTTTGCGGTGAAATTCTTTTTGTATCCACTATAAATCAAATACATGTAATTAGAATAAGACTATTCTATGCATTGAAACAAAAGAAAACAATTTGTTAGGAAATTCATACCTTCCATATAAAAATCTAAATCTGATATCCCACAATTTCAATAACCAAGTCAATTTCTTTATCCAGTAAACTTAACAGTTCTTTAGATTTTCCCCACAACAACTGATTCAGGATCAGAAACAAAACTGAACACATCAATAAGTTTGTTAAATTTTCCCTTATGATAATCATGCTAATTTAGGTAGAAATTGGTGCAAAAGAACAAAACAAGTGAGATTTTTTTTTTGATACCTTCTTGGTGAGGATGTATGATATTACACCTCCATTATCTGTTATTGTCTTTCTCCATGTACACTTCTCCTTGTATGATGTACATGCCTCAAACTCCAATACAACTGTACAATTAGTGAACACTTTCATCCTAGCACAAAGTCTGTCATCACTTGCTAAAAATTTCCACACATCTCATCTGTTTGATAAAAAGAAAGACAGTGGCAACTATTTTTTATTTGGGAGTTAAAGTCGATGTATTAAATGTCAACATAATTCAATTTTACAAATGAAGAGGATGTCTAATAACTGAATAAGTCTATTTAGCATAGATTTGTCATTTTCATTTTGTTTGTTTTGTTTTTCTTTGAGTTCATTGTTGTTACAATAATATGAATTTAAAAGCTTGAGTTTCTTTACCATCTAAAAAAAGTCATCTTTAGTTGATCATTGATCAGTGTTGATCTCATAATTTATAGGAAGTGGCTAGCCGTACGGCACTCTTCAAAAATATATGGAAGGCGAAAGTGCATATGTTAATTATGACTTTAAGGGAGGATTTTAGTCAAGAATGTTTACTTTTTAGAGATTAATCGACGTGTTGGCTACAGTAAAGAATTTACTTTGTCATCTCAAGACGTCGAGAAAAAATAGCGTTTGGTTGCAGTTCAATAACATCAATTGAAATAGTTTACAAAATTTTGATAATAATCCTTTCTTGTTTCATTAACTTTAATTTTTAAACTGAAAAAAAAAAAAACACAAAAAACACCGAAAATAATTGTTGTTGGGCTCTGATAATTGCGTCAATTATCGACGGTATAGAAGTTTGTCCATCATTAAGGCAAGTTTGCATTATTAAATTATTTTTCCTTTTCACTTTTTTTAATATTCTTTTTATTTATATATTTATTCCTCACCGATCATTATCTATTCGATCCATGTGCTTAATTAATAGATTTAACAATTCATCTTTCATACAAATCATAAGCATGAAAATTAAGGACGTTATAACATGCAACTTTGACACTTGATTTTATTAAGATAGATTATACAACGCTTACTCTTATTCATGTTTTTGTGTGCAAAATTGCGGAACATCTTTATTAAAGTGAACACACTAGGACAAATGCGGAGATTTGATTACAATCGTTGTTTAAAGACACAAAATAACATATGCACTTTCGACTTCCATATAATTTTGAAAAGTGCCGTATGGCTAGCCAATACAGTGTGTACAGGCTAGTCGTACGTGACTCACGTACGGCTAGAACTCTTGGCTAGCTGTACGGGCCCGTACGGCTAGCCACTTCCTAATTTATAATTGTGATTTACATGTCATTTTACATGACCATTGATTGGAAATAAAAGTTTTTCTATTCTGTTCTGTCACAAAGATAAAACTGGTATGATATGCAGCAGTATTATAAATTAGTTCATGTAAAAATGTTTAGTAGGTTTGTTTATCAGTGTTGATGTCAATTTCTATTCTCAGTTTTGTCATTTTTGACCATCGCTACGAACTTACTCCTGGTTTCTCATCTACTCCCAGAACAATGATATACATTGATGCTTCTTTGAAATGTTTGTATGACAAAGTATACAACCTTAATAATTGTTCTTAATGAAACTGTTCCTCATAACGATTTCACAACATTGAGCGTTGCAAATGGTGATCATTTGTAACGGGGAACAACTCTTCTTCCCTTTTTGTTATGCACGAACAAAACAGATATCGTCATCATCTTCAAATCTCGCAGATCGTATCGATTTACATATACGTATAATAATGGTATACAATGTATGTAGTGTATCTGCTATAATGTATCGTGTACTGTGATATCGCAGATACTCTGGGTCAGAGCTGACCCAATTTTTTTTTTTTTTTCATTTATTTGATATTTGAAGTATAACAATATCCCCGTACTGCCTCTTTCTGATCAGCTGACATATTTTTCAACAATAACTGACAGTGAAATTATATATAAAAAAAATTATCTTTCAATTCTGCAAATATTATCATTTCAGCTAATAAATGCACCAACTTTTTAAAATTTTACTTGAATTATTACTATGAATCGAGGACAAATCATTACTGACCCATTTTCCTGTTCTTCAAAATTTCGCAACCACTTTTCAATCAGTTAACAAAATATAAACTGTACCACATAAAAAATGTCATACAATGTTAAAATATAATTAGTTCTGTATTTTGGAGAAATTTTGACAAACTCAACTTCAGATAAATGGTAATAAACAATTTTAACCTAATTATAATGCCGTTTTTCAATCTAGATATTTATTTGCAGTGGTAAAGCTGTCACAATTGGGGTATGGATGTACATTTCAATTTGCATAACAGAAAAAGCATGTTCTTGTGAAATTTTTAGGATCTTAGGGTCTATATGACCCCATTCTAGTGACTGCTTACTGAAAAGTTATCACAGAGAATGTTTTCCTTGGTTAAGTGACTGTTACTTTACTGATGTATTACCTTCCAATTAAGAAATGTATGGTAAAATATGTACATATTAAAATTACAGCTTTTGAAGTGCAGTATACATTATGACTTCATGATATTGAAACAGTTGTCCAACTTAATATCCATTTCTGCAGACTGACAAAAAACTGAGTCTGTATATCAATTATTTTTAGAAAATTATTGCGATTTGTAACTGTGTAAATAAAGGATTAGTGGAAAACACACGTTTTACATATTTTGAACTAATTGCTAGCATTTTCTTTTTTTATCGCCTAAATTGACATTGCTGCTGATAAATTTAGTCAAGGGGAATACAAGATGTGCTTACAGTTTGGTTACATGACAAATAAGGTCAAAAATAAAAAATTTCTAGGGGTGATTGAAAAGTGGTTGTGATTGAAAACTGGCAGTGTGTGGATACAAACATACATATTAACATACAATTCATAGACTTATACCTATAATTTCAAAAACAAAAAAAAACTACATAAGTATGAAAAACATCCATTTACTCCATATTTCTACTATATATTTTATCATTTCGAATAATAGAAAGAGTATTTCAGATAAAGGGACTGAAAATTTAAAGTACATGTATATTCAAAGACATTTTAACATTATTTGGAGAAAGGGAGAATGAAAAAAAGAAGGAGTTTTGAAGTATATTCAAAAATATTTAACATTATTAGGTGTAAAAATAAGGAAAGAGAGAGAAAAAAAACAACAAAGAAAATGTCAGAGAAAAATATACATACACAAACATACACACAGACATTCAAAAAGATACTTTTTTCCTACATACATACAAAAACATACATACAATCGCAAAAAAAGATACAAACAAACAAAAAAAAGGAACAAGCGAGCTAATTTCAATTAATTTTCTTACGTTTTATGGTTTTGAAATTATTTTTAACTTTCTCTTACTGTTGGTTTGTAGGTTAGAGCGTTAAACAAGTTACCCCATTTTTGTTTGTGTGATTCAACGTTATCATTTAGAAAAGCAATTTCCTCTTCAATTTGTATTTTCAATAGGAAAAAGTTTTTGAAAATATCAAAAGTTGGTTCATGCTTTCGGTATTTCATTTTAAGGATAAAATATTTCATAAGTATGATGATATAATTTACTAAAATACTATTAATATTGTTTTTCAGTTCTCCAAAAAAACACTGTTTCTAAATTATATGAGAAAACAATATTGATTGATAAAAGAAAAGAATGTAATTTTGACCATAAATTTTGTACAATAGTACATTCCCAAAAAAGATGGTAAAGCGTTTCTAAATTGCTACCACAAAAATCACATAGATTTGAATTACAAAGGCTATACTTAAATAACATTGTATTAGTTGGAATAAGTCTATGAATAAATTTGTATTGAAAATTTCTCAATGACACGTCTGTAGTACTTTTAAATGGAACCATATATATTTTTTGCCAATCCAACTCAGTTTCTATTTCTTTTTCCCATTTCTCTTCATTTGTATTTTTGAACCTTTCATCATTTTCAAGTTGAATATTATATAAAAGCTTATTTGTAGATTTTGATTTTTTAACTTTATTTAGGAGTGTATCTTGTACTTTGTTATAATTTCTTGTAGATTTCAGACTATTAAGATATCCTTTTGGTATATTATTCACAAGCGTGTAATATTTTAAAAACTCAGCATTTTCCATACCATAGATATTTTTAAGGTCTTCAAATTTGTAGAGTTCATTTTTCCTATAATCATATAGATGTTCTAAATATAGAATACCTTTTTGATGCCATGTTTTATAGTACACCAATTTATTATCAATTTTAATATTCGAATTATTCCATATTATTTGTTTAAGGTTATCTTTTTTATTATTGTGTTCTTGTTGAATATGAAACCATGACGAAAGCACATTGTTTACAAATGAATTATGAGGAAAAAGCTTATTGATATCTGATTTCGAAAGATTACAGTCAAATATAAGGTCATTTCCATATTGTTTTATCTTTTGATTTATAAAAAGTTTCCATAATCCTTTATTGTCCTCATTTATATATCGTTTGACCCAATTTGCCTTTACTGCATTTAAAAAATTATTAATATCGATCATTTTTAAACCACCATTTTTAACATTAAGTTTTAATGTTTTACGTTTGATTTTTTCTGGCTTGCCATCCCAAAGAAACAAAAACATTGCTTTAATTATTTCTTTTATCTTATTACTTGATGGGTTTTCTAAAACTGAAAATGGATACAACAGTTTAGGTAAGGCAAATGTTTTTATTACCATCACTTTACCCATAAGGGTCAGTTTTCTGTGTTGCCATTGTTTTAAGCAAATAAAAAAGTTTCTTAGTTTTGGTTCTAAATTTATATCTGTATTTATTTTGTAATTAGACGAGAAAAGAATACCTAGAGTTTTTGCTGAATCAGATGTCCAATTGAATTTTTTATATTTACAATGTTCTATATCACTTTTTGTGAGCGATCCCACTCGTAGAACTGTGGATTTTTTTGTATTAAGTTTTAAACCAGAGATTTTGCTAAATTCCGTTATGACATATACAAGTTTTTCAAAAGACTTCACTGATCCATCATTAACAAATGTTGCATCATCTGCAAAAAAGGATTGCTTTATTGTTTTGTTCGCGATTTCTATTCCTTTAATTTCACTATCTTTTTCTATGAAATTTGATAATATTTCTATACATAAAATAAATAATGAAGATGATAATGGACATCCCTGACGTACTCCCCTTTCTATATTAAAAGACTCTGAAAAATGTCCATTATTGATAACTATACTTGATATATCAGTATAAAAGATTTTAACCCATTTTATAAGATCTTTGCCAAAATTAAATTTATTCAGTGTATCAAATATAAATTGATGGCTTAGACTGTCGAATGCTTTTTCATAATCAGCAAAGAATAATAAACCCGGTTTATTTTCTTTCTGCAGATGTTCAATAATTTCAAAAATCAGCCTTACATTTTCACCAATATATCTATTTTTCATAAAACCAGTTTGATTAAAACTTATTATAGACGGCAGAACTTTTTTTTATTCTATTTGAAATTGTTTTTGTTGCAAGTTTATAATCAACATTGAGCAAGCTTATTGGTCTCCAATTTGAAATATCTGTAAGATCTTTATCCGGTTTAGGAATAAGGGATATTATTCCTTGTCTTTGAAGTGTTGTTAATTTTGAAGTATCAAAAGAGTAATTAATGGAAGCTAGATAATAGTCTTTTATGCTATTCCAAAATAATTTATAGAATTCAACTGTTAAACCATCAGATCCTGGACTTTTATTATTTTTCATTTCTGATAAAGCTATTTTACATTCATATTCATTAATTTTCCCTTCACATGTGATCTTTTCTTCTTCATTTAATAATTTTATATCTGTATCAAAAAAATTAATATTTGAGTTTTGAGAAGTTCTATATCTATACAAACATTCATAAAAGGATTTTTCTTCTTTTAATATTTCTTTTATTTCTGTTATTTCTTTATTTTCTACTTTTAATTTATGTATAACTTTTTTCTCGGCTTGTCTTTTTTCTAAGTTTGCAAAATATTTACTATTTTTTTCGTTATGTTCTACATGAATAGCTCTTGCTCTTAAAATTGAGCCATTTACACGATATTCATAAATTTCATCAAGTTTTTGTTTTTTTAATAAAATTTCATTTTTTAACTTATTTTCATCTTCACTTTCTTTATAGGAATCAATTGTTAGTATTTTTTCTTCTAATTGTTTTATTTCATCGATCAAATTTAACTCTTGTTCTTTTTCTTTCTTTTTCTTAAAACTTGCATAACGTATTGTTTCATTTCTTATTGCACCTTTTATTATTTCCCACAAAGTATTTGGATTTGATGTTTTATTTATTTCTGCTGTTGTTTGAATAATTTCTTTAATTTGACTTTGATAAACTTCATCTAATAATAAAGCACTGTTCATTTTAAAGTATCCAGGTCCTTTTTGCATTGCATTATCATTAAATGTCAAAGTAACTAGAGAATGATCTGTTTTAAAGCCATGTGAAATATTACTTTTTGAAATGATGTTTCTAAGCGAATCGGATATAAGAAAGTAATCAAGTCTACAGTATATGACTGGTTTTCCATTAGAGTGCCATGTAAATTGCCTCTTTTCAGGGTGTTTAAAACGCCAAATGTCAATTAGATTACATGTTTCAATTATG